AGCTTGAAGATATTCAATAAAAACATTGTCTTCATATGTGACATGATTGTCCATGTTTAAAATTATCAACAGAAAAACTTCTGGATCTAATAAGTAATTATCTGTATAGCAAGGCTGCAGGATACGAGGTTAATATGAAAAAGTCAATTACTTTCCTATACACTAACAAAGAACAATTGGAATTTGAAATAAACAAAATTCAATACCATTTACATAAGCACTAAAAAAGATTAAATAACATATCAATAAAATAAAATGTGTACTGGATCTATATGAGAAAAGTATAAAACTGTGGTAAAGGAAATCAAATAATATCTTGGGACATAGAGATATACTCCATGTTTGTGGACTAAAAAATCATAGTATTTATAAGACTTTTAAGATCCAGTAACTAACTAATAGGAAAACTTACACCCACACAAAAATTTGCACATGAATATTTACAGATATCTTATTCCTGATCACCAAAAACTGGAAGCAACCAAGTTACTTTTCAGTGGGCAAATTGATAAACAAGCTACAATTCATCCATACCATGAAATATTATTCAATAATTTTAAAGAAGAATAAGCTCTCAAGGAAAAGAAGAAAATATGTATAAATTTTAAAGGCATATTAGTAAGTGAAAGAGGCCAGTATGAAAAGCGTACATAATACATGATTCCAATCTATGACATCCTGGAACAACAGGACTATAGAGGAGGTGAGTAGATCCTTGATTGCCAGCAGCTCAGGGTGGTAGTTTATAGGTGAAGCACAGGTCATAAGGCAGTAAACTATTCTAAAGATATAGCTATAAAGGATATGGGGCACTAAGGATTTTTCAAAACCCATAGTACTTTGCCACACAAAGAGTGAACATATTGTGCACACATTTTAAAAAATCATTAGGAAGTTGAATGTCCCATAAAAGAAGGCAGAATATGACAAGTCCATCTAACTATATTATTTGTGTATGAAAAAAAAAAAAAAACCTCACTAAGGATGGTGGTGGAAAAGTGCTGACCTATGTAACTTTGCAATGGAGTAAGCCTCAGACTCTAGATCATGTATATATAGGTTATCAATTCTGAAACAGGTATACATTTATACTGAAACAGAAAACTTAAGTGAATGAATGGAGTGGCTACTGGTAGCCAAAGATCTCACTGCTGCATTGAGAGTTTACAGTTGAATGGCAAGGAGAGAAGGTTAGAATGTGGTGATATCTTAAGAGTTGGATTATCAGTATGAATTCATGCTTAGCTTAATATAGAGATGTTTTTATTTTTATAGATAAGGGTATATATTATACACACATATATTTACTTGTTCTCTTGTCTGAGAAGACTTCAAACAACTTCCCAGTAACAAAGAACACATCTCCTATCCAGATCTTGATTTCTAAAACCATTCATCAGTAAAAGAAACCATAATATCTTGAAGAAACATCTGATTATAGGACTAAGGCAGAATATATATGGTCTGACAATTAAGTTTGCAGACTCTTCCTCACACATTGTTGCTGAATACCATTAAAGTCACCTTCCAAGTACTCTCCTTAGGAAGCTATGTATTGATACCAGCACCTGGACAAGGAGCTTTTTCTGGAATAGCCTACTAAAGTTGCCATTGTCTCACCCTTCATGTCCAGAATGTCATCAAAATGTCTTCCTTTCAATACTTTCTTTATCTTTGGATAAAGAAAAAAATTTACTGGGCGCCATATTGGGTGAGTAGGGAGGGTGTTCCAACACAGTTATTTGTTTACTGGCTAAAAATTTCCTCACAGATAGTATCCTGTAAGTTCAAGAGACATGAATTGTTAGCCCAGATTTTCACTTAAAATTCACTGGGTGCTATATTGGGTGAGTAGGGAGGGTATTCTAATACAGTTATTTGTTTACTGACTAAAAATTCTCTCACAGATAGTGCCCTGGGAGTTCAAGAAACATGAATTGTTAGCCCAGATTTTCACTTAAGACTTTCCTATTACTCTATTGATGTTTACTTGGTCTGCTATACTTCTCACAGTCAGCCAGTGATTTTGATGCACAATCTCACAAATTTTTGCAAAGTTTTCATCCCTTCTGCTCATTATTGGCTGCCCTGACCTCTCTTCATCAGTGATGATTTCTCTCTCTCAGAAAACTGTTTAATCCAATTGTACACTTTTCTTCATGGAATTGTTCCCCAAATCTTGGATTAAATGTCCCTGGTTTCACTTCCACTCTGCCACATTTAACAAGAAATGTTTGTTCATTGCTCTAATGTAAGCTCTGACATTCTTGCAACAATACACAAAAACACACAACAAGAATTTACACCATTCATCAAGACACCACCAGACATTGATAGGAGCACAACTGTGAGACACTGATACACCAAGATTATGAAAACTTACCAACTTGTTTGTACAGTGCTGCCAACATAAGCACACAGTGGCAAGTTCAACAACTTAACTGTTACACCGCGTATATATGATAAGCCAGGAACATAACATTGTGCAGTACCAAAAAGTAAGTAAGTGCTTAAAACACACACATGGTATGTCGAAGGGGTGCATGAAAGAGCCCCTGATGGCCAAAGCTGAAAAATTTGTGCAACACAACAATGAAGTATTGGATTATAACTCAAAATATAAAATAAACATACACGAGTCCATATTGATATAAATAAATGATAGAATAAGTAAATAAATGGCAGAATTGCTGATAATTTGTGTAATTTCTTCACCCTCAGGGAGGTGGAGCATAACTCCCCATTTCTTTCCAGACATAATTCCATATATGTTTCTATGTAACTTGACAAACATTATATTTAGAATATACCCAACAAAATCATGTAGTTGAGCAATTTTAATCCAAAATCCAAAATCTAAAATAATTGAAAATCTGGAACATTTTTGTTTTTAGAGACAGAGTCTTGCTATGTTCCCCAGACTAACCTCATACTCCTGGGCTCAAGCAATCTACCCACCACAGACTCTTAGGCAGCTGGTAGTATGGGTGGGAGTCTCTATGCCTGGCTCCCCAAAACTTCTGAGCACTAACATTCAACATGACACTATCAATGAAAAAATTCCACACCCAACCTCAGGTAATAAATCATAGTCAAAATGCTGTCAGAAGTTTCCTTGGTGCACAAAATTATTGAAAATATTGTATAAAATTACCTTCAGGCTATAAGCATAAGGTATATATGAAATAAATATATATGTATACATATACATATAGAGATAAATTTTTGTTTAGTCTTGGTCCCCATCTCTAAGATATCTCATTATGTATATGCAAATATTCCAAAAGCCAAAAATACTTGAAATCCAAGACACTTCTGATCCTAGGGATTTTTAGATAATGTAAACTTAACCTATATATTCAAAATAGAGTGATTTTTTAAAAAATAAGGTATACTAATGATATTGAAATAATAATAATTATTTAATTATTTTCAGTCTTGAATACTTAATCATTTTTAAAAATAGCATTTGCCAATTACTTTTACTATTTAACCTGTTATATATCCCAGTGATATGGGCTCAACAGATATTTACAACATTCTCCAAGCTACAAATAAAAAAACTGAAACTGAGAGGCTCAGTGGTTTGCTTGAAGGAATGTGACCAACATGACAGGGCTGTAACTAGGATTTGTTTTGGCTCCTAATGTGACATCTTAATTTCTATCCCTCTTGGCTCTCCTCCTGGTTCCCTCCATTTATAGTATTTAAAACTATCATACTAAAATAAGCAAATAAAATCTTCAACTTTATGAAGATCAAAGATGTAATGTCTTGTTGAAGAAATTTCATCAACAGAAAAATAACTTTAAATAAAAGTATTCAAGTGCAAGAACATTTGAGTAAGCCCAGGCACTGGAAGCTGACAAAGCTATCTCGTTAGTCATGCATGCCTACAGCAACTTTTGACAGGCCAGAAATCAAGACAAAATGTTTTTTAGGAAATGAAAGTTTGGATCAGGAATATTTAAGAGGGCCAAAGTCATCAAATACTGGGAGAATATGAAACTCAACCTGAGGTTCCAGTTGGTAGCTGCCATCTCTACTTTCACTACAATTGAGAGTAATACTGGAGATTTGTGTATTTTGTGGCTTTGAGTCTATTTTGTGCTTTCTCAAAATTATTTCTGTCAAAAGTTATAGAGACAGAGACTGGTCTTCATTTCAGAATACCTTACACTGTGCCAAATAATTTCAGCTGTGAATGGATATAATAAAGACAAGCAATAATAAATAAACTATTATATTTCTGGACAGTAGAAGTGGTTCCAGCTGTTGGTCTAATTTCTATCTATGTGGAAAACTGTTTTCAGCAAACTCATTCTAAATTGCTTGATTGGCTTGAATAATTGAGATCTCATTTTAGAGCTAACAAAATGTGGCTCATAACAATTAGTTCAGGGGTGATGCACACAAGATGGTGGACTAGAAACAACCTGTACACACCACTCTCACAAAGAGGATTAAAGGTGGGGAGTAGATACCCACCTTCATATCAATAGTGTAAGAGAGAGTACTGTGAGTCAAAAGAGAGGTGACAAGAGGCTCCCAATATGCAGGATCAGGAATAGAATTTGGAGGTACACAGAGAAAATGAGTACACACACAGGGGAGGCATAGACGAGAGAATCCTGGGGCTCCACACTTCCCCCACAATCATCACTAAGGGGAGGGACCCTCCACTGCACAAGACCACATGAATAACACAGGGAGTCATCAGAGACTGTGCAGAGACATTGTACCAAAGAAGGAACACAGCAATAACCTAGTGGCTCACAAACCCAGGGTGCTAAAGCTGGCACCATTTAAAAACCCTTGACCCACAGCATGGCTTCTGATGAGGAGTCAAACCCTCCCCACCCCCTCTGCCAGTCTGGGGAAGGAGGTGGGAGGGGAGAGGCCAGGAACTCTCCTGAGTCCCATGGGCACATGCCACCGCACTTGAAGGTCCTGGGCCAGATGACAATCACCATAATCTGTCAACATAGACAGAGCTGGGCTCAAGCTGGAACCCAGCCTACAAAAGAAGCATCCAGAAGGTCACAACAAGGAAGCTAGCAGGCTGAGTGGACTGTCAGTCACCACTGCCCATTGACATGAGTGGGGTTATGCTCAAGTAACAGGGCTGAGAAACATTGCTGCTGCAGGCCTGCCAGGGTCCAGCCCTGGGGCCAGGGTCCATTAAGACTTGTGAATCTAGCAGCAACTGACTGAAGAAATATAAAGTTAGAAATGACATCAAGAAACAAAGAGACAAGACACACAGAATAGAATTTTCAAAGGTGGCAGCACAAGGACCATGGCCTTTTGTGAGTTTCTGATCATGGTCCCAAGTGTCAGTTTCACTCAGCTTTTATTGAAGGCTACTTGCTCGTTAGCCCAGAGGGTAAGCTGAGAAAGGGAACAAAGACAGACATCAGGAGTTTCTTTGAGTGAGCATATCAGCCCCTATTGTTTCTATAATCATTAACCTTAAGGGTCTGAGCAGCCTTGAGAAATCAATAACCTGAGCCTTGTGTGGGGGAAGCCTCCAGTCTGCAGTCACACACACAGATTCCTAGGGGAGTGTTAATACCCTTGAGTCCACTGGGGAGTAAAATGCCACTGGTGTCAGTCTCCTCTGAAGAACTGGTGGGAAAAAAATTTTTCCTCTCATTACCACCACAGAGGGTCTTTCTCTAGGGTAAGGGATATAAGCCCGCCTATCCATATTTTAGGGCTTGAGCTGTTCCCTTAACTTCTGCCCCACCCAAGTACAAATCTCCACAATGGGTATTTGCTTTGACTGTTAACTAGGCAGGAAGTGACCTAGTTAATATTTCTTGCTAGGCCTTGCACACAGCTTCCTATGTGGCCATTAATCCTTCAGAGTACTTACAGACCCAAGAGGGGTGTTAGGAAACTGTATCCCCAATAGGCCAGGCTTCTAGGAAAAGCAGGAAACTTTTTCAGATAAGAAAGTTAGCAGTAGCTGGTTTAAAGGCAAACTAACTGACTTTCTTTTGTTCTGCTCTCTTAGCTTGGGCTGCTTTTTTTTTTTTTTCAAGAGAATTAAATCGTTTATTGATTACACATGATAATGGTAGATACACAAGCTTCATTCTCATCTGTAATTTTATCTGGTACCATTATTCAATTTAGATATATTGCATAGGATATGCCAACAATCACCTTTATAACCAATAATTCCATGATTTTCCTTGGATGACCCCTTTAAATGGTGAGCTTCAGGTCACAACAGTAACCCTCAGTTCAACTACACCAAGGTTTCTGAAGACAATGGCTTCTTCACCCAAGCAGGTTGCAAATGAATTTCAAATAGAACCTGGCATCACCCTGAAGGAATTCTAGCTTCACACTTTTTTGGAAAGTTTACCAAAATAGCTTCAGAGTAGACTAACTTTACACAGCACATTTAAAAAAAAAAA